TCTTATTTTTTACTTTTAGTGAGAAGGATCCTACTTCATACATTATGGAATACTAAGCCAAAATAATTGTGTTTAAAATGTGACTAGAATTATTCATTTGTGATAAATTTTAAATAGCTGAAAAATCACCTGGGATTCAAAATAACTTTAACAATTTCTTTGCCATTCTGTTTAGAAACAATCAGGAACATTTGTCATGCCATTGCAACTTATATATAGAAATAGAAACTTTCTACTCCTCCCCAAAATGCAGTCATGTCTTGATTACCTATAGTGGAGGAGGAAGGTTAGAAATGGGAAGAAGGAAATAGTGATACAGATAATTACAATGGGAGTCATATTTGCAGCTTCTTCTTTCTTTAGTATGGGAAGAATAATGGAAAATAGCACTGGAGGCTCTGTCAGGATCCCCAACACTACCTCCAGGTTCAGTGATTTGCTAGAAGGACTCACAAGACCCAGAAAAGCTGTTATACTCATGGTTGCAGTTTATTATAGTGAAAGGATGCAGATTAAAATCAACAAAGGAAAAAAGCACAGAGGTTGATGTCCAAGAGAAACCAGGTGTGAGCTTCCAATTGTCCTCTGCAGTGGAGTTGCCAGGGATGTGCTTAATCTTCCCATCAAGGATGTGTGACAGCATGTATGAAGTATTGCCAACCTAGGAAGCCTTGATGTCAGTATTTTTATTGGAGGTCAGTCACATAGTCCTGGAATACCCACGTGACTGACCTTAATAACTCAGAGTCGACCCGCCACAGAGGTCGAACTGATACAGCATGGCCCAGGACCCCCTGTGAACAAATACAGGCATTCACCATAAATCATGTTGTCAGTATAAACTGTCTGGAGTGCCCTAGATCTCAGGTATACCAAGGAAGTTTTCTCAGTCAGGGTATTTGTAGGGCTCAGAAGTTGTCAGGGGCCAATCCTTCCTCTGGCACATGCAGGATCTGAGCACCCCCCAGTCTGCTGAGTTAACCCTTTGCCGAACACGAATTTAGGGACCTTGGGATCAAGAAGGTTTTGGGGGAAATGGCTTAGGAGTGTGCCCAGGTGGGTGGCTGCAACCAGAGGCTCTCTCAGAAGTAAATGAAAATTTTTAAAAAGTCGAAGCTGCAGTGACTGTGATTCTGCCACTGCACTCCAGCCTGGGCAATAGAGTGAGACTCCAAATCAAAAAAAAAAAAAGAAAGAAAGAAAGAAAGAAAAGCCTAAAACCTAGAAGCATTCCACATTGGATGGTATCCATGTATAGATAATTGGGAGAGTTTACTTAACAACCAATTTGACTTCATAGGTGTTTGCTATTGGCCGTTCTCTGAGTAGTTAAAATTCTTACATGGTTCAGGTTGAATGAATGGAAAAAGAACTGAGCTATTTTCTGTGTGTCTGTGGCAAGATATTTTAAAAGGCTGCTTTGTTTTTTCTCTGGGCCTCTTAGCTTTTCTGTAGACCTCTTATTCACACTAGTTACTAAAGAAGGTGGGTGAATCCTGTGAAACTTGGTCTCAACAGGACCCCATTGGTAAGGAGGTTGCCTGTAACTATTCTGTGATCTTGTGATCTCTCTCCCTGAGAAATTTTGCCAATATTTATCTTGCCTAGGACAGTTGTTTATCTAAAAATAATGGTCGAATTTAAAAGTTTTAGATGGCAAAGATGCATCCAAGGAACTCTGTAGTATTCATCTATAAAAGAAGAACAACATTCACATTGAACATGTTTTTCAGGGTAGAAACATCGTTCCAAATTACAGTTTTCCAGGACTGTAGACTTTTCCTAAGCAGTCATGGGACTGTTTTATGTGGCAACCCAACGTCGGTAGGGTGGCTTGCTTCACTTGGTCAAAGGAGACTAGGTGTAGGTGTGGTGATGTTGATTGCTATCCTTCTTCTGTTACTTTTGCTTTTCCTGTCTAGTACTTTACCTGTCTATTACTCTGTCCCCAGAGGAGAAATGCCACTCTGGACTTGGCTCTGCTTTCCTCTCCCTGCCTCCTCGGCTCCAGAATGTTTTGCCTGCCATTGGCTGTACCGTCTTAAGATTCCTGTCCAGCTCTCTGTCCCGCACAGGCTGTTTTGCGTGATAGCCTCTCTCTGCTGCACACCTTTGTCTTTGGTACAACTTAGTCCTTCATCTCATGCAGAAAGCCCACTATATTATGTTAAAAAATCTAAATCCAAGATAACTTAAATTATCATCTGGATAGTGGAAGATATTTTTTCTGATGTTTTTTGATCTGCTTTTATTTTCATAGTTTCCAGCCATGTAAATAGTATTGAAATAGAACAGTTTTGGCATCTGAATTGAATTCACATTTGAACCCACAGATGAAACCTGGTATTTATGGCTAAAAAAAAAAAACCAAACGAACCTTTATACCCTCCTTCTGAAAATCTTCATTAGTGGAATATTTTGAACTTTAAATAAGAATGTGTTGTGTTTTTTTAGAAGCATTTGAAATAGTTTAAGATTTTTTTCATTTTAACTGTCATCTTTAATTTCTCAAATGCTTCCACATTATTTTTCTTCTTTGCCTCTATGATCTAAAATGCCCAACCATTTTGGCGTCAGGGACCAGTTTCGTGGGAGACAATTTTTCCACGGACCTGGGAGTGGGAAGAGGGATGGTTTGGGAATGATTCAAGCATATTACATTTATTATGCACTTTATTTAAATTATTATTACATTATAACATATAATGAAATATATAACATCAACACCTCAGCTCCACCTCAGCTCCTCAAGCTTTAGATTCTCATAAGGAGTCTTTCTTTCTTCTGTTTTTTGATCTGCTTTTATTTTCATAGTTTCCAGCCATGTGAATAGTATTTAAATAGAACAGTTTTGGCAACTGGATCACTTACATGTGCAGTTCACAATAAAGTTCATGTTTTTATGAAAATCTAATGCTACTGCTGATCTGACAGGAAGTAAAGCTCAGGTGGTAATGCAAGTGATGGGGAACAGCTATAAATACAGATGAAGCTTCACTCACTTGCCCACTACTCACCTCCTCCTGTGCGGTCTGGTTCCTAACAGGTCACAGATGTGCCAGTCCATGGCCCACAGGTTGGGGCTCCCTGGTCTAAGACATTGCTAAAATTAAATTCTTATCTGTTGATTATGTAGAATGGAAGTCTTTTTAAAAAAGTTTTTCTTTAAAACTTTTATTATATATTTTGAGTCAGGGTCTCACTCTGTTGTCCAGGCTGGAGTGCATTGGCACAATCATGGGTTACGACAACCTCCAACTCCTGGGTTCAAGTGATCCTTCTGTCTCAGCCTCTCAAATAGCTGGGACTACAGGCACTCACCACTACACCAAAAAATTTTTTAAAAATTTTTTGTAGAGACAAGGTCTCACTATGTTGTTCAGGCTGGTCTGGAACTCCTGGTCTCAGGCAATCCTCTCACCTCTGCTTCCCGAAGTCCTGGGATTACAGTGAGCCACACACCCAGCCAGAAGTCTTAATATTGTATATAAATTTCCAGTTCTTTGTTTTCTTCCTTACTGTTTGTTTTTTTTTCTTTATGAGTTGGAGACTCACTCCTTCACCCAGGCTGGAGTGCAGTGGCACGCATGCTCATAGCCACCCCAGTGTCGACCTGCTGGGTTCCAGCGATCATTCCACCGCAGCCTTCTGAGTAGCTAGAACTACAGACGCGTGCTACCAGGCCCCCCTATTTTTTATTTTATTGTAGAGACGAGGTCTCGCCAAGTTGCCCAGGCTGGTCTCAAACCCTCGGGCTCAGGCAATCCACTCACCTCAGCTTCCCAAAGCACTGGGATTACAGGCTGAGCCACTGAGCACGGCCTCTTCCTTACTGTTATTAACATCTCACACATCCCTTATTTGGACCTTCTGGTGAATCCCTGATGCGGCATCCAATCCACTAGACTGTCTGCAATTAAGGGGCAGATTTATGAGTCAAAATGAGAACCAAAAAGTAGTGATATTAAATCTTAACTTTCCTATAGGTTGAATAGACTTATCCATGTAGGTCAGCAAACACAATATGCAGATATGCCCTTCTAAGATCACATATGCCCAAATATGTTTTGCAGAAGGTCCAAGCAGAGCCAATCTGTCTTGAATATTAAAATTGAGGTACCACTAAGCCTCCAGCCACACCCCCAATCTCTTTTATCCTGTTCTATTTTTCCCATTACCCTTATCACCCATGTAATATATTGTACTGATTTACATATTTATTATATATGTGATCTCTCTGGCCCAGTAGATTGTAATTTCTGTGCAGGCAGAGATTTTGGGTTCTGTTTTATTCACCGATGCCTCCTCAGGACCTGGAATAGGCCTGGCACTTAGCAGGTATTCAGTGAATATTTGTTAAATGAACAGTGAGCCCTTACTGAATCCACTCTCCTACCTATATCTAGACTCTCATATTTTTTTATTTCTTATGATTCCATCATTCTGGGCTTCAAGTTTTTTTTTTTCCTTGCCAGCATATATATGTTTCTTTTTCTTCTGAGTTCATTTATTTTCTAAAATATGTTATTACACCAGGCCATCAAGTCTGAGTCTTATCTCACCACTCATATTCTTTACTTTCTCTTCTTACTTTGTTTAAAATACAGGAAAATGGGGACTGGAAGCTTTCTGTTTCCATACTTGTATAAACATGTTGCATATTATTATTGCTCTGGCAAATATGTACATTACTTTATAGAAATACAATACTCAGAGAATTTATTATGTATGTATGTACCTGAAAAGTAACACCACTTGGCAAAATAGTCTTTAGACTTTATAATTATTTAATACATGAAACCTTGCTATTTAATATTTTCCTTTTATGATACCTTTTAGGAAATCTATATAATGTTACTTTTAGGAATATCTTTAGGCATCTATACAATGTAAATTATTTTATTGAAATAACTTACAATAAAATAAAGTATAATTATTGGCTTAATACTATGATAAATTAAGTACATGCAGAATTTTAACATTTTATCCTCTGGATTTAGGTACAAGTTATGGAAGAGAAATTAAAAGCAGCTAATATTCAAACCAGTGAATCAGAGACCAGGTTATATAAAAGATGTCAAGATCTGGAGTTTCTAATGCAGGAAAAAGACGACACCATTCAAAACTTGGAACTGCAACTTGAAGAGCAGGTTAGGAAGAATTTGATCATCAAAGAACTCTAAATATGTGTACTTATTTGGGTATAATCACAAAGTTTAAAAAGAGAAAGCCTACATTTCTAAGTTTGGGGAAGAAATCTTATTCCAGCCAGCCCATAAGATTGCATCCCATTTATTGGTGAAAGGTGCAAATGGCATTCTTTCAGTCCAGTCTGATTCCCAGGCAAGATCTAACATTTTTTAGATGTGACAGTGCACCTTAACACTCACACTTTGGAGTTTAAGTATAGTGTTTACGTTGGAAACAGCTGAGCTCGGTGGCCCATGCCTGTCATTCCAGCACTTTGGGAGGCAGAGGCGAGAGGATTGCCTGAGCCCAGAGGTTTGAGACCATCCTGGGCAACATGGCGAGACTTTGTCTCTACAATGAATCAAAAAATCAACCAGGTGTGATGGTGCATGCCAGTAGTTCCAGCTACTTGAAAAGCTGAAGCAGAGGGATTACCTGAACCCAGCAGGTTGAGGCTGCAGTGGCTGTGAACCATGCCACTGCACATCAGTTTGGGTGACAGAGTAAGACTCCGACTCAAAAAAAAAAAGGGAAACCTCTGGTTATCAGCAGGCATTTATGTCTGTAAGTTGTTTGCAACCAATCCTTGCTTTAGATTGTTAGGATGTTGGAAATGTTTGTAGAACATTATATTTTAAATATTTATATTTGATGCTAATCTCTCTGCTTGGAAATGTATGCACTGTTTTTAAATTACTTTATTGAAATCACGTATAGTGTTTAGTTTATTTTAAAATTTTATTAGAAATAAATTTCACTAGGTTATTTATTTAAATGATCATTTGACATTATTTAATTATGATCACTATGAAATTGTTTTGTTAAATGTGTTAAATTGTCATTTATTTTCAGCGTTTTTTTCATTTCTTGATAAAGATCATTGTTTCTGTTAGGTCACTGGTTTTTAGCTTTCTACCACCCCAGTCCCCACTCATTGTGATTTATTCGACAGTCACATTCTAAGTAGTTTTGCAACCATTACCAGATTTTAAGGTTGGTAAATGGGCACTAGGGTTTCTCAATGTTTATTTTTCCTGGATCCTTGAAAGCTAGTATTTGGGGGAAGGAGGAGAGTCATGCCTCTGAAGAGATGATTCTTCTCTTCTGGCTAACCTGGTTGACCCCTTTGCGATACTAATGTTCTAAACCCTAGACCATTTCCAGAAATGGTTCATTTTGTTGATAAATTCAGCAGATTGATTTCAATTATGGTCTTTCAGAGAAAGAGAATAGCAGTTGTTAATACTAGCAGTATTTGCATATGCTTTTATGGTTTATTATTGTATCTACTGGATAATTTTTTTCTTTTTAGAATCTATTTGGTAATTTGAGGGTAGTTGTATTAACTTGGCAACAGATTTTAAGTGGATCCACCTTGTATATTTATGACGTTAAGATTTCCAGATCATTGAGTTTATGATGGACCTAATCAAACTGCTGATGTTATTTCAGAAACAAATAAGAATACAAGAAGCTAAAATAATAGAAGAGAAAGCAGCTAAGATCAAAGAATGGGTAACAGTTAAGTTAAATGAGGTATCTATTTCTGTATTTTTTCCTTTTCTTTACCTTTTACTTCTTTTGAATAGATAAATCATCAGAATATATGATTTTTCTGAGTAGAAAATGTTGAATGGTTAGTGGTACTCCTGTCTTTTAGTAAACTTGAGATAGGTAGCTTTCATTTTAATATCCAGTGTATTTCTTTTTTTCTTTTTTTTTTTTGAGTTGGAGTCTCACTCTGTCGCCCAGACTGGAGTGCAGTGGCCACTCCTGGCCACCACAGCCTCGACCTACTGGGCTCCAGCGATCCTTCCGCCTCAGCCTTTCAAGTAGCTGGAACCACAGGCGTGCGCTACCACGCCCGGCTAATTTTTTTGATTTATTTTAGAGATGAGAGGTCTCGCCAAGTTGCCCAGGCAAGTCTTGAACCCGTGGGCTCAGGCAATCCACTCACCTCAGCCTCCCAAAGCGTGGGATTACAGACTGAGCCACCAAGCCCTGCTTAGTCAGTGTATTTCTAAAATGAAACATATTGATTAAACTCATGATAATCAGTGTAAATAGTCTCATTCTAATTAGTTACTTTTAGTTTTAAGTAGTTAATTTTAAATACTTATAGAATATATGTATGTCATAAAATTAATGTATTTGCTATCTGATAAGCATATATTACTTAGTTTATATTGGCAGTTTAATGCTGAAATAGTTTTTTTAAAAATAATTTTACAAGGTCAGGTACAGTGGCTCATGCCTGTAATCCCAGCACTTTGGGAGACTGAGGAGAGAGGATTACCTGAGCCCAGGAGTTCAAGACCAGACTGGGCAGCATAGCGAGACCTCATCTCTACAAAAAAAAAAAAAAAATTAGCCAGCGTGATGGTACATACCTGTAGTCCCAACTACTTGGAAGGCTAAGGTGGAAGGATTTCCTGAGCCCAGAAGATTGAGACTGCAGTAGCCATGATCATGCCACTGCACTCAAACCTGGGCAACAGAGTAGAACTCTGACTCAAAATTAATTAATTAATTAAAATAATTTTATAATGCAAAAGACATAGAGGATGAAAACATTTAAAACTTTTAGTGTTGGGGAAAATAAATATTGATGCCATAATTATCTAGGTTGATAGCCTATGCTGATCAATTAATCAGATATTTGCTTATCATTTCCTTTGTGTTTTGCTTACATGTGTATAGACATTAACATTTTCTAAATATTATAATTTATTAGTGCATTTTGGAAACGGTATCCCTAATAAAAGAATACTATTATGTTCTTTTAGCTGGAATTGGAGAATCAGAATCTTCGTTTGATCAACCAAAACCAAACTGAAGAGATAAGAACAATGCAGTCAAAACTACAAGGTACAGATACTTTGATTCAGATAGCTTAGTTAGACTTACTTGCCTATACAGGATTTTACTGGTCTTTTGCTAGTATTTTAAGGACACAGTTATGAATATTATACAGGAAGTCATTGTCGTAGAATTTCTGAACAAACCTGAACTCCTGCACACAGTGAATGTTGGGCCTGAAAGTGGGAAACAGAAAGAGAATTGATGAGGTACAGGTCTACCAGAGCAGTCACTACATAGATCAGAAAAACATGATCAGATGCTCATTTCGCCTCTCTCTGTTCTAAAAGACCTTCCGTTTGTCCCTTTTTTAGAACCATACTCAGTCCCAGAGAGTCCCGCTTGCTAAAAGTACTGTACATTGATGCTAGCCAGGAGGTCAGGGATCATGGTCCTGATTCTCTAATGGTGAGAGCATTTTGGTCCTTCTAAGCAATGCAGTGCTACATCTCCCTGTTTCTTGAAAGAAATACAGGGGACCTTACTACACTAGACAGTGGGCTAGGAATATTTGTATTAGAGAGGCATACATTCAGAATTCAAGAAGACTTGAACTTTGGCCTCAGAAAGAGAATAGACCTGTTAGTGGGGATCAGGGAGTCACAGATATGGTATTTGTAGCTGCATCAGGGACTTTGGAGGAGGCACCCTATATTCACACATGTTGAACATGCCACTGAACTTGGCATTCTTTGAGGGAAGCCCTGAGGCACTTGTTTATGGTTAGTTGGATGCAAATATCACACCTCAGGTGGTTCACTCATGGATCACCAGTGTTCTAATCCTTTCCCCATTTAGGTCTTCTGGATGAGAATTTGAATCCTGTTAACTGGGAGTATCCATTAATAATCCACTGATAAACTCAAGAATATCAGGAGTGAGATTGGCCTATTTAAAAAGACATGTACCTCCAGAGTTCTTTATAACTTTTGGCTGGCTTGCAAATATTAAATCCAGAGAATTATTTGCCACTTTTGAGATAATCCACAAGAATATTTTACAAGCTCTGAAGTCACTTTTTATAATGTAAAATTTGATAATATTGTTAGACTGTACATTTAGTCTTTAAACTATAGATCAGCACTTTTTTTGAGTTGGAGTCTCACTTCGTCACCTAGGCTGGAGTGCAGTGGCACACTCACGGCCACCCCAGCATCGACCTACTGGACTCCTTCCAAGTAGCTGGAACTACAGGCATGTATTACTGCGCCCGGCTAATTTTTTTTTTTTTTTTTTGATTTATTGTAGAGATGAGGGCTCGCCAAGTTGCCCAGGCTGTTCTTGAACCCATGGGCTCAGGTGATTCTCTCATCTTGGCCTCCCGAAGTACTAGGATTACAGTCTTGAACCACTGTGCCTGGTTAGATCAGTACTTTTTAATAGGCCTTTCCACAGTGAGGTAAATATTCTATATCTGTGCTGTCCAACATAATGGCCACTAGCCATTGGTGACTTTTGAGCACCTGAGATGTGACTAATGTAACTGAGGAACTGAATTTTACATTTCGTTTAATTTTTGAATTGTTTTAAATTTAAATAACCTGGTGTTGGTAGTGGCTACCCTACATTAGTGACATTCGCTAGATATTAGTGAGTAACCTGAAGAGGGTAATACCAATTTGAATGTTTAATCCCAGGTATATTTGCTTTAAAAAAAGAAATTTGCTGTGTTATTTTCTATTTTTTTTCTTCATTTCATAGTTTTCAACAGTGATTAAAATTCTTACATCCTGGATATTTTGAGCAGAATTGTATGATATGAATAAATTTTACCTTTTTCAGTACCTAGGGTTACTTTCTTTTCAATGTCAAACCAAAGAGTGGATGGGATAACTATTGTTTGATAGAGATTTACTTAGTACACTAATCTGGCGACTGCCACTCAAGGGCACATTGAGTCAGAGAGGAGGTGAATCCCATGGGGGTATGTGTAGCTCATGCTTTTAGACCCATGGCCTGGTATAGAGGTTTTCAAAACTTCCATTTGCAACAGAACCCTTTAAAAATATATATATATATAAAATGTTCTATAGTCTCAACAGCTAAGACAGAAAAAAGCAGTGCTAGACGATAAGACCAGAGTTCTGCAGACTTGGCCTCACATTTCCCTCTTCTTACATACTCTGAGACATTTCTACAATGCCCGGGGGGTTCACAGAATATGCTGGAAAAATACTCAGGGAGCAGGAGGAACATAGGCTTTGAAGTCAACTTTAACAGTGCCTTAACTGGTTTCATGGAGGAGTGTACAGAATTATTGATTACAAGGCATATGAAAATATTTTGAACATCTTGTCTACAGCGTGTTAATACTGACTGCTATCATTTTCTCCACCTGTGTGATAAAAAAAAAATAGGAGTGCCTCTAGTTGATCTGGAATTTCATATTTAGAATTAAACTTTCAGATAATTGTGACATTTACCTTTGTTGAAATCAATTGGATATACTAAGCCCACTCCTAAATATTTGTTATTTTCCCTGATAATCTTAACTTGCAATTCTAGTCTTCACTGGCAGTCTCATAGGTATTATAGACTAAGTAGTTTTGATCCTTGGAAACTCGACTTGGACTGGAGAAGAATAGATCAATGTAATACTTAAAATCTATATTCATATATATAATTATACACTAGTACTGTGACTTACTCTGTGAGAGATGATCAACATGGAAATATTAAAAGATACATCTGAAGAAATATACTTATAAAGATTTTTCTTTTCTTTCTTTTTTTTTTTTTGAATTGGATTCTCACTCCATCACCCAGGCTGGAGTGCAGTAGCACGCTCATGGTCACCCAAACGTCGACCTACTGGGCCCTGGCGATCCTTCCACCTTGGCCTTCCAAGTAGCCGGAACTATAGGTGTGTGCTACCACGCCCAGCTAATTTTTTGACTTATTGTAGAGATGAGGTCTCACCATGTTGCCCAGGTTGATCTCAAACCTGCAGGCTCAGGCAATCCTCTCATCTCAGCCTCCCAAAGTGCTGAGATGACAGGTTTGAGCCACTACGCCCGACCTAAAGATTTTTCTTATATGCTACTCAGTTATAATTTGCTATTTGACTTAACCCTTTGGTGCTTTCCTAGAGTTAAGAAGTTAATTTTCTTGGAATCTTTTCTCACTGGGATCACCATCCTTTTGATTTTACAAGTAGTAATATTAAAAGTCCTAGAGATGAATTAAACCCATGACTGGGTGCTGACCTAAGGACTCCACGAGCTATCTAAATTCTTTACCTCCCCCCATCTTTTTCTTCTCTAAAGAAGTGATTAAGGCTCTTCATATTGTGGTTACCATAGACCAAGTTCCTTCCCTCTACTTCCTTCTCATTACTGAAAAATAAGATGAGCAAAAGTCATCATAGTGATCATGAGATATTTGCCCCAGTGATGATCCAAATTTCCTTTGGTTGTTTTATCAGCCAACACTTCGGTTGGTTGGAGACTGCACAAATTTTACCAATACTTAACTGGCATTTATCAATATTTGACTTTGCAAGAAGCTATAACTTTCTAGTTATTTATCATCTGTTTACGGTTTTGGTTTTTGCTCGAGAACTAACTACTCTTAAAGGGATTAGCTATTTTTTTCTCTGCAGCTAAAAAATGTTTTTTTGAACATTCAGAATATAAAAAACAGATTCTAAACACAGGCATATGGTGCTCATCATTGAAGGTTCATGTTATTATATGTAAATGAAGATGAGCTTCGGGCTTTTTTCTGGTATAAAGAATGATTTGTCCAAGTTTTTATATGCTTTGGCTCTACGTTGAATAAATGTCTATTTAAAAATTCCAGTCTTAATGTTGATTAATGACCTTGCAGAAGTTCAAGGAAAGAAGTCGTCCACTGTCTCTACAGTAAAGCTGTCGGAAGGCCAGCGCCTGAGCAGTTTGACCTTTGGGTGCTTTTTATCTAGAGCAAGGAGCCCTCCTCAAGTAGTAAAATCTGAGGAAATGAGCAAGATATCAGTTAAAGAACCCGAGATCACTGAAGGAAAAGACATAGAAGGTATTTATGGTCTACAGGGATTTACTTTGGCATGTTTTTTAAAAAGGAAAACATCATTTGCTAGGATTAATTCAAATATAGCTTAATTTTTCTTACATATTTTTTCTGACAACTTGATGTTGTATAAGAGTGTTTCTAAAAGCCAATACAGCATTTAACTGTGTGTCTAGTTATTTTGTGTTTTCTGAGAGTCTTTTCCAATGTCACACAGAAGAAACTGATTTTCTCTACTTAATATTCTTAATAATATTTTTCCTGCTGTTGGTAGAATGGGTGTTTAGAGTTAAAAAGTTTACAGCCCTACCTTCAAGGTACTGTACTTATTTTAGATGAGTTTCAGATGAGAACTGTGAATTTCCTATTCCTTATTTATTTAAAATATTTTTAAAATTGCCTAATATTAAACAAGACACAAGACACCGCAAACTTATAAAGCAAAGAACTCTAGATGATAATTTAGTAACTGCTTTAATTTTTCTCTTTCAGCTTCAAAGAAGAAAATATTTTCCTGATATTTAAACCCTCGTCTTGTACACAGATTTTCTGAGTCTTCTTTTAGTCTTAAAATCCTTCTAAATTTTGGTTTGTTGTGCAGATGTTGGCTATGATGCCTCTCATGCAATTTCATTCTTTTTTTTCTTTCCTTTTTTTGAGTCTGAGTCTCATTCTGTCACTCAGGCTGGAGTGCAGTGGCATGTTTGTGACTCGCTGGGTTCAGGTGATCCTTCCGCCTCAGCCTCCTGAGTAGCTGGGACTACAGGCATGCACCATTAAGCCTGTGGTTTTTTTGTAGAGATGAGGTCTTGCTATGTTGTCCAGCCTGGTCTTGCTATGTTGCTGAGGCTGGTCTCGAACTCCTGGGCTCAAGCAGTCCTCCCACCTTGGCCTCCTAAAGTACTGGGATTACATACAGGCTGAGCCACCAAGCCCAGCCTTCTTCTTGCCTTCTAACAGCCAGTTCTGAATGTAGCTGAGGTTGCCTATTCTAAAGTTCTTGCTCACTTGCAAATTTATCAAACTGCCTAGTACCCAATTTTAGAGTTTATTTATTCAGCCTCTACTCCTTAATTATGAAGGTCCTATCTATGTTTTTATGCTTTTAAAGTTTCTTTTGTACTCTTCAAGCTAAAGTTTTAATTCACTGTTTATGAAGCCACTAATTATGTTATAAATACAAATAAGCCCCATCTAAAGACATTTTTAAAGATGATTATTCTTTTATAAAAACATTTTGTAGTTATGATTAAACCCAAAGCAGAGCAAGGAAGGCTTTCCCCTGTTTATGTTGTCTTCATGATTTTGCGTATTTCATGCAAAGTTTGTTCCTTAAAATATACCTTTGTATTTCGTATGCTTAAATTACTTTATGATAATTCCAAAATTTAGTTGAAAGAAGGTTGTCACTTTCTTTTATTCTAAAACAGAAATTATGGTGTTCATTTTTTAATGGCTGCTTTCTTTAATAGACAAAGCTGCCCTATTTCATGCTGTTTGCTTATTTCATTATCTCTTTAGACTATTGTCAGTTTTTTTTCCCACCATGCTTCCTTATAAAAACAGTTTAATTTTGAAACTATTATATTGAAGTGCTGAGGCTCTGTGTTGCATATAGTTTTCAAACTTTTGTTTAAAAAATACATAAAATGAACAAAGGATAATGTACATTAACTTTATTCATGTGACGGGTAGTTACATAAACTAAATGTACATAAAGACAATATTATTAAATATGATGTATCCTTTTCTAGAAATGGAAATTCCGGAAAAGTCTGCTGATAGCCAAGCTCTAGAAAACAACAGAGGCCAGAGAACATTGCATCAAACCCCTTGTGGCTCAGAACAGACTCGGAAAACAAGAACAAGCTTTGCAACGGATGGTGGCATGTCCCAGAATTCTGGGGCTCCGGTGAGTGACTGGAGCTCTGATGAGGAAGACAGGAGCAAAGGGAGGTCCAAGTCCAGGTGCACATCCACCCTTTCCAGTCATACGTCCGAAGAAGGCGTCCAATGTAGCAGGATGGGGAGCGAAACGTATCTGACAGCATCTGACGACAGCAGTTCTATATTTGAAGAAGAGACTTTTGGCATAAAGAGACCAGCACACAAGAAGCTGTATTCTTGGCAACAGGAGGCACAATGGAAAGCTCAGAATAGTTCTCTCGGAAAGGGAAATTCTGAATCAAGTAAAAAGGAGCAAGATAGTTCCTCGGATGAACTGAATAAAAAGTTTCAGTCTCAGAGACTAGATTATTCATCTTCATCGAGTGAGGCCAACACACCAAGCCCTATTTTGACCCCAGCTTTAACTCCAAAGTATCCCAACTCACTTTCTGGAAAAGGAACACAGTTAGTGCCTTCATCAAACCTGCCAACCCCAAGGTTAAGGATTCCTAATGTTTTCAGTATAAATGTAGCACTAGCCAAAAGGCACTTAAGCCAGCCGCAGTTAAGTTCCGACAGGATGTTCGGTACCAACAGAAATGCTATAAGCATGATCCGACCACTAAGACCTCAGGAAACTGATCTTGATCTGGTTGATGGTGACAGTACAGAGATTTTAGAGCATATGGACACAAGTTGTGATGATGGATTGTTTTCCTATGACTCCCTGGAATCTCCATGTTCAGATGACCAGGAATCCTGTGACTCTGCAAAGAAGGTGGCATGCAGCAAACCCCCGACTCCGCCCCTGCACCGTTTTCCTTCTTGGGTAATTATGGTGCTGTGTGCAGGACATGCACAGTCGTTTTGTTTTTTTTTTTTTTGTCAACACTCATTTTAGGGTTTTACTTTACTTCTTTTCCCATTTCTCTTCAAATCCAGCTTTGGTCTGACATTTTCCAGTTTTCAGAATACAATTTCCCCTTCTCTTCCCCCACTGAGCTCTGAATCAACTGAGAAATAAGACAGATGGGAGACCAAAATATGACCTTATGTACTGATAAAACTGATTTTAGAGAATTGGTGGGCAAATGAGTTTTCCAGGACTGAACTTTGGGATTAGCTGGATTGATCTACCCAATCCCAGCCAGCCCTGGACCACCACAGGCTTCCTCCAGGGAAGGTGTGCCCCTCTAAAACTTACAACCTTGAGAATGTGAGCAGGGGCCTTTTCCTGCAGGCAACTACTTCTCAAGAAGAGGAGAGAGGGCTGGGCTCTGAATGCCCTTTTCTCCTTAATTTGCTAGTCACATTAGGCCACTTCCCCTCTTGGAGAGGAGAAAGTGAATGGGTACAGAGCGAGCATGAGTGTTCAGTAACTAGAGCTCCCACTACATGGAAGAAAACATCAGGGGCAGGGAAGAAGGGTTCCCGCAACTGTGATACTTTGGGTGAATTCTGAACTAGGACATTTGACCCTTGTTAGTCATCAGGTTTTGAACTTAGTCGTTTATTTGATTGGCTTTAAGAGAGATGTAATTTTCTTCAATTGCTTTAACCAAAACATCTTTCTACAGATCCAGAATAGATTGAATCTTCTTCCATTGAAACATTGATCCATACATTAATTAACCCATCAATTGTGTAATTCTTCTTAGGAATATCTACAAGGGGGACCCAAAAAACGCTCAGAATTTATTTATTTAAAATGGTGTATTTATTCTTCCATGTTTAAACCTCAGCCATCTTCAAAGTACTCTCCGTTTGATGCAATACACCTATCAAGACACTTTTTTCACTGCTTAAAACAGTTTTTGAACTTGTCAATTGTGATGCCTTTTAATGCTTCTGCTGTTTTTTGTTTCATCTCTTCCACATCGGCAAAATGGTTCCCTCTGAGAACTTGTTTCATTCAGGAAAACAAAAAAAGTCACTATAAGGGTGAGACTGGGTGAACAGAGAGAGTAGAGCATAGGGGTCATGCTGTTTTTGGTTAAGAACTGCTGAACATCCAGTGCGGTGTGTGTAGGTAAATCATCCATCATGAAATGGGCAAATGTGTTGTAAGAATTTCCAAAAAAAATTCACTGAAGCTGAATGCAGCCTCTAACAACAACGCTAGCTGTACACTGATGCCCATGTGTTCCTAGAACACTTACCTAGTGGGGGAATCCTTTACTAAAAGGGGCCCGCCCTCCAAAAGATCATTCTGGGTTTTTTTTGGTCTTTGCTAGATTTTAAATTCTCCCTATATTTGAAACAAAATGAAATGATCTGTTCTGTAGATTTAAATTTTCCTTCACACACTGGCATAATTTAACTTTCGGCCTCCAGGGAAACATCTGAGTTGCAGGATTTTTGGTTTTTGGAGTCATGTTCTTTTATTATTACTATTATTAAATTTTTTTTGACTGATGCCATTTTAAGCAAATTAGGGCAGCCAAATTCAGACCTTAAGATGTATCTGTTTTTATTTGCTTTCAAGAGGGCATTTCATTTCAATATGCATATGAAACTGTAGTTTATTACTAAATTCTGGATGGCACAGGAGTGGACATTAATGGTGAATCCCTGGAATTCCAATTATGTTGTCCTTTAGGCAGTGAAAAATTGAAATTTTGCCTATTTGATTATGTTGAGATTTTCAGAGATTTCAGTTAGGCTTTCAAGTTCGTTTTATTTGGCAAGCCATTTTACCACTTTTTTCTGCCTTTCTCTCTTCCCTTCTTCTTCTGAAGCTATTCAGTCCTGAAAAAGTAGTATTGGCTTTTTATTTTTTATTTTATTATTATTTTTTATTATAAAGATATGGTACAATTCAGGGTTAGGTATACTAAACATTAATTATGCAGGTACCCTGGTTGAGGAGGTATGCCCCTCCCTCCCCTAGCAGTTTCCTTCAACTGCCAATCCCACCCTCCCTATCCTGACAGTTTACCATTACTGTCAAACACTTTCTTATTCAAAAATCACTCAGCAGACTGGCCAGGTTTGAGGTTTTATTTCTATGTTTGTTGGGTATTTTCAGATTTCAAGGAAAAGAGGTATGTTCTAGTTACCTCAGTTAATAGAAGTTTATTTTAAGGACTTTTCAGAGTTTATTTTAAGGCATAGCATATGCTTATCAACTGGGAGCATTTAAAATAGTCAGTCTAGCCGGGCTCGGTAGCTCAGCCTGTAATCCCGCGCCTTTGGGAAACTGAGGTGAGTGGATTGCCTGAGCCCATGGGTTCGAGACCCGCCTGGGCAGCGAGACCTCATCTCTACAATAAATCAAAAAGTCAGCGGGCGTGTTAGCGCACGCCTGTAATTCCGGTTACTCAGAAGGCTGAGGCAGAAGGATCGCCGGAGCCCAGCAGGTCGAGGCTGCGGTGGTCGGGAGCGGCCATTGCGCTCCAGTCTGGGCGACAGAGTGAGACTCCAACTCAAACAAAAATAATAATAATAAATAAAATAAAATAAAATAGTTGTCCTAGTAGGACAACGTGATGATTCGAAGTATCTCTGATAGTCGACTGCTCAGGAACAATTGACACCCCTCACTCTTATGGCTTCTAATTGCCTCCCATCTGCTTACTGCCTTATTTATTTAGTTAGTTATTTTTGAGTTGGAGTCTCACTTGGTCACCCAGGCTGGAGTACAGTGGCACGCTCATGGCCACTCCAGCCTCGATCTGCTGGGCTCAGGTGATCCTTCTGTCTCAGCCTTCCCAGTAGCTGAAACTACAGGTGTGTGCTACCACATCCAGCTAATTTTTAATTTATTGTAGAGACGAGATCTCGCCAAGTAGCCCAGACTGGTCTCGAACCCACAGGCTCAGGCAATCTTCTAGCCTTGGCCTCCCAAACTGCTGGAGTTACAGGCTGAGCCCCAGAGCCCAGTCTATCCTTACTGCCTCATTTTTATATTTTTTTGTTCCGCTCACTCTGCTTGTTGTCTCTCTGTGTGTATCTCACAGTCACATGCTCAAAGAAATTGCATCTGACTCATTCAATCAGCCACTCTCTCATCTAAAGTGACATGGATAAAGATCCTTGCTCTCATACCAGTTACCTCTCAGGCCACTGGCTATCCTGAAGAGGCGGCCTTAGATATCCACAATGTCCTTGTCCAGTCAACTGTGTCCCGGTTAGACCCATTACAAAATTCAGGACACAGTGATCTATGCATTAGGAACCACCTGGGGTCTCTTTTGTCATGGGGACAGAGCTAACAGCTGTTCCAGTACCTGTTTCAGAGATCTCTCTCAGAGATGAAGAACAAAATAATATAAATTCCATTGCAATTCTCACATTCTTTTATTGTTTGACCTCAGGTATTTTTTCTACTTGATTGAAATAAGAAGGCAGCTCAAGCCTGTAATCCCAGCACTTTGGGAGGCCAAGGTGAGGGTATTGCCAGAGCCCACAGGTTTGAGAACAGCCTGGGCAACTTGGTGAGATCTCGTCTCTACAATAAATAAAGAAAACAGTAGGGTGTGGTAGCTCTTGCCTGTAGTTCTGGCTACTTGAAAGGCTGAGGCAGAAGGATTGCCTGAGCCCAACAGTTTGATGCTGGGGTGACCGTGAGCTTGCCACTGCACTCCAACCTGGGTGACGGAGTAAGACTCCAACTCAAAAAAAAATCAAATAAATAAAAATGAGAAATAAGAAGGTGATAGCATTGACGGCTACTCTATGATTTCATGTTTTTTCTTTCTTTTTCCTTTAACTATGTTCCAAAATGGTAGACTATTAAAGGTGGTTTATATGTGTAGTTAATGGCTGTGAATGGTTTCTGGCTTCATGTTATAGCCATCCAAATCTTTTCCTTTAACCATGTTTTAGAATGGTAAGAATATTAAAGGTGGTTTTTATGTATAGTCAGTGATTGTGAATAAGCTTTCTCTTTTTTCCCGGTGTCTTCCCCCAAAAAACTTGGGACTGAAGCTAAATAATGGACTAACAAATGCATGGAAAAAAAAAATTCTGTAATACTTGTCACAATGGTGTATTTTAGTTGGCACTAATGACGGTTTTGTAATAATGCTGTACTGCAGTGAATATTAAATGAAGAACAAATGAAAACCATGTGTATTGAAAGCAATCATTTCTTTGCTTTAAATACCCTGTTCAACTCTCTCTTTTACACCAGGAAAGCAGAATTTATGCTGTAGCCAAATCAGGCATTCGAATGTCTGAAGCTGTCAATATGGAGAATGTTAATAAGAGTAAGTACTTTTGCATGCTACCACATAGAGGAAATGCGAGGACATTATGCAAAGTGATAGAATAATACCGATGCATATCACAGTCCCAAAAAGTCAAATACTGTATGATTCCACTTAAATGAGAAGTCAGATGCATAGGAACAGGAAGTAGAATGGTGGTTACCAGGTGCTGGGGGTGGGGAGAAAAGGGGATTTATTGTTTAATGGGTAGAGAGTTTCAGACTTGCAAAATGAAAAAGTTCTAGAGTTTGTTTTACAACAATGTGAATATGCTTAACACTGCTGAACTATATACTTAAAAATGGTTAAGATGGTAAATTTTATGTTATGTGTTTTTTACCACAATCAAAAAAGTTTTTAAAAAGTAAAATTTGTGTTGTTTCACTAGCCAAGAACTTCCTAAATGTCTAAAATCATTGGATTATGTAAACTTGATTTTTTTTTTTTTTTGAGTCGGGCTCCCATTCTGTCCCCTAGGCTGGAGTCTAGTGGCATGATCACACTCATTGCAGCCTTGACTTCCTGAGCTTAAGTGGTCCTTCTGTCTCAGCCTCCCAAGTAGCTGAGACTACAGGTGCTTGCCACCATGCCCAGCTGATTTTTTTGTAGAGATGAGATCTTGATATGTTACCCAGGCTGGTCTCGTATTTATAGGCTCAAGCAGACCTCCTGCCTTGGCCTCCCAAAGTGCTGGGATTACAGGTGTGAGTCACCATACCCGGCAAGATTATGGAAACTTTCAAAAAATGATTTCTCAGGTTGCTGATTCGTGTTTTAAAATTGAAATTCATCTTAGTGTAGGACACAAATACATTCAGCTCTGATGTATCTTTTTACCTGAAAGAGACTAGAGAAACTGTGGCATTTCAGCTATTTAAAATTGTAAAAATATTGGTCTCCATGTCTTTTTTCCCAGGATTTAAAATGCATTCCCCTTTTCTTCCCTCCCTCCCTCTCTCCCTCGTCCTTCCCTCTTTCCCTCGCTCCCTCCCTCCCTTCTTTCCTTCTTCCTTTCCTAGAAATTGTTATAGAAATAATGCATGCCCTTGATAAAAAATAAAACCAAACATTAGAGAGCTGTCTAGAATAAAACAAGAAGTCTTCTTGTGGCTCTGTCTACCTGCTCCACTCTGTCTGGTCACAACTCCATATTTTAGAGGTGACCTTTGATGTTCTATTTCTTTTCGGCTGTCTTCTGTTCTCAACATTCGGGAAATTATATTCTAATCTTTCAACATAAGGTTCACCTAATAAAAGCTTAAGAACGATGATGTTTTGATAGCATGTCAGTAATAGGGCTATGAATAGTTAAGGACTATCTCCTTAGACACTACCCATCAGATCAGTCTGTCGGTGAGTAGTTGCTTACACTTAGTTCTACCCAGCCTGAGCTAAGTGTGCTTGGAGATACCCAAGGGATAAAAGCTATGGGCCGGGTGCCTTGGCTTAAACCTGTAAACCCAGCACTTTGGGAGGCGGAGGCGAACGGATTGCCTGAGCCCATGGGTTGAGAACAGCCGGGGCAACTTGGCGAGACCTCATCTTTACAATAAATAATAATAATAATAATAACAACAGTAATAATAATAATAGTTAGCCAAGTGTGGTGGCGCACACCCATAATTCCAGCTGCTTGAAAGGTTGAAACAGAAGGATCACCTGGGCCTAAGAGGTAGAGGCCGCAGTGGTCGTGAGTGTGACATAAATAAAAGCTATGGTTTTTGCTCTTAAGAGTTGGCAGTCTAGTTTGGAGACTAGCGCACTTGAGGAATAGTAAACAATGTAAAAAAGTGTATAAATAGGGCAAGCCCTTCAGGTCCACTCCCACTATGGGAGCTTTTCTGTCCTCTCAATAAATCCTGCTTTTTTTTTTTTTTAAAGTGAATCCTCCACTGCTAAATTTGAGTAACTTAAAAAATTAAATTAAAATTTTTAAAAAGTGCATGAATAAACCTATAAGCCACAATTCATAATGTAGACTATATAACGAGTAATCATATGTGAATCCAATTTCTTTTTAATTGGAAATTACACTCATTCATATTCATAAGAAATAGGTCGATGTGCTAGTTAGAAGGGCTTTTGTTTGTTTTTTTTTGTTTTTTAGAAAGCAGGATTTATTGAGAGGACAGAAAAAACTCCCACAGTGGGAGGGGACCTGAGAGGGGTTGCCCAGAAGGTTTTCTATCTTAAATGTCGTTTTCTGTTTTTCTATTTCAGATTCTGTTGCGATGCTTTCCTATACCACCTCGGGACTGTACACATCTCTAATCTATAAGAACATGACAACCCCTGTGTATACAACTCTGAAGGGGGTAACTCATTATTGTTACTGTTCAGCTTGCGGTTCTCTTCATGAGGGATCAAAAAATATTTATTCAAGCTCCAGATTCCATTCTTAACATTTTACACAGTTTCTCTCTTTATAGAGAGTTCTTACAAATTCATGTTAATTTATTATAAGAGAAGCCAGGCATGATGGCTCATGCCTGTAATCCCAGCACTTTGGGAGGCAGATGCAAGAGAATTGCCTGAGTCCAGGGGTTCGAAACCAACCTGGACAACTTGGCAAAACCTCATCTTTACAGTACATCAAAAAATAAGCCAGGTGTGGTAGCGCACGCCTGTAATTCCAGCTACTTGGAAGGCTGAGGCTGAAGAATTGTGTGAGTCCAGCAGGTCAAGGCTATGGTGGCCGTGAGTCTGCCACTGCACTCCAGCCTGGGCAACAGAGTGTGACTCCGACTCAAAAAAACCCCCAAAAAACAAAAACAAAAACAACAACAACAACAACAACAAATATATATATATATCTCATAAGAGAAAAAATGGAAAGATCCGGAGAAAACATTTATTCATTTATCAGAGTATTAAAAGTCTAGTTCATTTTTGTTATGTCCCATATGATTCCCCTCCCCCACATCCTTCCATGGTTGTTAATTTTTTAAAGGAGACATATTGCTAATGTCATAGGGAAAACTCCTAATACAGGAAGATCATGTATCAGTGCCAGGGTACCCCTTCTTGGCTTGAAGTACCCAATTAAAATAAGGATTGTCAGGTATTAACAACCTTATATTTTCCAGAATCTTTTATAGTGGACAAAAGCCTTGCTCAGTAGACTCTGAGGTTTGACAACATGACTTAGATAACAGCAAAATACATTTTTGGATTCCTTTTCTAAACAAATACATTCCATGACTTCTTCTTGTAAAGCATTCTATATCTAAAGAGAAGTGATCTTATTAGGGAAGGATGCAGCGCGGCTGTTCTGCTTTTCTTTAGAAGGCAACGCAGATAAGTAACAGCCCTTTCCTGGATGACTCATCTGGGTCAGAGGAAGACGACAGCTCCCGATCCAGTTCCCGGACCTCAGAGTCAGACACCCGCAGCAGGAGTGGGCCGGGCAGCCCCAGAGCCATGAAACGAGGTGAGGGCCAGTGGCAGGCACGTAAAGCGACTCCTGGTCATCGCAAATACTTATTGGGAATCTTATCCCAGGCATCAAATTATTTTTAATAGACAAACTTTCTGCACATCATAGCGAAAAGAACATTAGTCTAGGACTGAAACATTTATACTCGAGTCCTAATTCTCTTCTTAATTCTCTGTGATTCCAAGCAAATTACATAGTCTTTTTTTCTTTTAGCCTTATCTGTAAGAGAAAGATCACTTCACTGTGGGACTAAAGTGAGATAATTGGCCAAAATAAGATTCCCTTTAGATTTACCATGTGGCATTTTGGATAATTTGTGGAATAGACCTAGTTCAGCTGAATTTGGTACTCTGCTAAATGGCAGAAACAATACCTAAAAATGTGTTGGTAAATGTAGTTAATGACCCTAAAGTAGAAACCAACCAGACATGTCTATGGACATGTCTATGATTTCTAGTGGGTTTTAAAGAAATTTTGTGCAAAGGTAGAGGTTACAGGGAAATCTTGTTCCACTAAATGCCTCCTGTTTTATAAATGCCTTTGATGCAGCATGGTTCATCTGTTGGTGTCCAAACTGTGTTCTGTGGAACTTCTGGGTATTTTCAACCCACTTGGCTTCAACTAGAGCTGCTCAGCTTTCATCAGTTAGCATTTTGGGCCTCCATTGGTCTTCTTGCTTTTTTCATTCCCTTCCCCCTCCCCCACCCCCCATAGCCAGAATCAGATTGTGACACATTTTTGCCCAAAATGCTGCAGTGGCTTCTCATAATGGCTATAAGGTGTTACATGATTTTATGTCCTAGACCTCGTCTCCTCCTTTCTCCTCCCTTCCTCATCTCTGGCCTCACTAGCCCTCCTGCTCCTTTGAGAACATGCCAGCCATGCTTTGTTTCAGGACCTTGGCACCAGCGTTTCCTTCGCCTGGTTTTCCTCCCCCAGATGTCTGTGTAGCTGACTCCCTCACCTCCTTCGGCATTTGTCCAGCACTGCCTTCTCTGTGGGGTCTGCCCTGACCACACCATTCCACGTGCAGCCCTTTGTCCTTCTCTTGCCAGCAATTTGAGTTCCATTTGGTCTGCTCTGTGTTTATTTTTCTGTAGCACTTGCTGTCTGTTTGTTACGGGTCTCCTTCCGCTGGAATCTCTGTTCCATAAGGGCCCAGATGTCTCTGTTTTGGTGAATGCTGTCCCCTTATTCCCTAGGACAGTTCCTGGCACACTGGCCCTGGGGCTGGGAGACTAAAAACTTGCATTCCGACCTTGTCCCTGCCTAGCTATTTGACTTTGGGCAAATCTTTTAATCTCTGGGTTTTGGTCTTCTTAGAGAATGCAAGCATTAGCCAGGACAATCTCTGAGGTTCCTTATAGATCTTAATTTTTGTTATTCTATGAAAAATGAAGATATTAGTGCAATGTTTCATGTCTGAGTCAAATAAAGAATAATGACACAAGAGTAACATTGTCCAATAGGTCCCTTAAATGTTAACAAACACCTTTAAAAAATGCTGGATACTGTAATGAGTAATGACCTAAGTCCTTGATTCTATTTAATACATTCAAAATCTCCAATTATAGTGACACTCCAGATGTGGCTTGCAATTCACAAGTAGTTATCTATAAAGACAAGTCAATTATTATGAAAATGTTCCATTGAATTTTGCTTTGTAGTTGCTAGAAAATGAAATAGTCTGTTTATATCTTTCAATCTTACTGCTTTTCTTTTTTGAAAGATTTTGAAGATCTATAAGTGATTTAGTCCTTTATTAGACTTCCGTGAAAAATATTCCTGAAGTTATGTTGTTTTTTAAAATGTGAAGTTACATTAAAAGTGACTATGGAAATTAAGGCGGGTGTAGTGGCTCATACCTGTAATCCCAGCACTTTGAGAGGCTGATGTGAGAGGATTGCCGGAGCCCAGGGTTTGAGACCAGCCAGGGCAATTTAGTGAGACCTTGTCTCTAGAATAAATAAAAAATATATATATTTTACCGGGCATGGTGGTGTATGTCTGTAGGTATAGCTACTTGGAAGGCTGAGGTGGAAGGATTGCCTAAGCCCAGCAGGTCGAGGCTGTAGTGGCTGTGAGCGTGTCACTGCACTCCAGCCTGGGCAATAGAGTGAGACTTCCACTTCAAAAAAAAAAAAGTGGTTATGGAAATTAAATGGTTTAAAATGTGATTGTCGCCTGTAATCCCAGCACTTTCAGAGGCCGAGGCTAGTGGATTGCCTGAGCCCATGGGTTCAAGACTAGCCCGGGTAACTTGGTGAGACCTCGTCTTTACAATAAATAAATAAATAAATTTAAAAGATGTGATTGTGAAAATCTTGATAAATTAAGGCTCAACATTTGTTAGCCTACATATCAATATGTAAATACACATATTTAAAAATTCTTAATAAAAGACATATTAGTAGGCGATTGCATATATTTTATATGTAAAATAGCTGTGATTGTAATCATGCCAAAATATTCTTTATGTTCTTTTGATTTCCTTGGAGATTTGCATGGCAATGTCTACCCCTTTGCTCTGTTTTCTGCTTTAAAAGTTCTTCATTGCCAAAGGAATGAGAATAAATCTAGTCTAGGGAGGCTTATGATTTAGAGTAATTGCATTCCATAGAACTTGGAGTCAGTATGTGGACCACCCAGTATTAAACATTGACTGGATTCATTTCTCTGTTCTTTTAGGTGTGTCTCTCTCCTCTGTGGCTTCTGAAAGTGACTATGCTATTCCTCCCGATGCTTACGCCACAGACACAGAGTACTCACAGCCAGAGCAGAAGCTCCCTAAAACGTGCTCATCTTCCAGTGAAAATGGGAAAAATGTAAATACTGAATCCGATTTTTAAAAAAAATCAGTGAATCAGTGAGTTTGAGTCTTCCAAAGGCAACTTAAAATGTTTTTTGAAATCTTTTTAAAATTAGGAACCACTGGAAAAATCTGGCTATTTATTAAAAATGAGTGGTAAAGTCAAGACTTGGAAGCGGAGGTGGTTTGTTCTTAAAGGTGGTGAATTACTGTACTACAAATCTCCGGTGAGTGGAAAGTGCTTGCTGTTTAGAACTGAATTTCTCAAACTGGAAGTCAGACTCCTAGTTGATTTTCTTTCTTGTAATGCAGTGAGTGATAGAAAGTGTTTCTGGACTGGGCTCGATGGCTCAGCCTGTAATCCTAGCACTTTGGGAGGCTGAGGCGAGTGGACTGCCTGAGCCCGCAGGTTTGAGACCAGCCTGGGCAACTTGGCGAGACCTTGTCTCTACAATAAATAATAAAAAAAAGAAAGTGTTTCTTGTTATTGTATTAAATTCAAATCCCTCACGTTTGGTTTTCTTCCTTTCATACAGAGTGATGTCATTAGAAAACCCCAGGGCCATATTGAACTTAGTGCATCCTGCAGTATTTTAAGGGGCGATAATAAACAAACCGTTCAGGTACTTAATTTTTCTTTTAACTTTTTTTAATAATGCAAAACTCAGTTCTTAGTCATTCAAGCTAATGAAAAGGAAGATAGATAATTCAATGTTTCTTTATTCAATTTTGGGCCAGTTTTGTGCCTCAAAAGTATGTGAAACTCGAAGACATTTTAGCTAAAACTATAACGTAAGCTAAGTTTGTAAGCTAACTCCCCTGTACTTTTTTCCTGTACGTTCTTCTTTTCCCATATTTACTCTCCCAGGCAGTTTTGGCTCTCAAACTGTCAAGCTATTTTAAGGAAGATTTATCTGATAAATGAATTCCCAATAAGATGTTACTTACACAGTGTACTATTAAATTCATGAGTGAGCTGAATGTGGTGGCTCATGCCTGTAATCCCCACACTTTGGGAGGCTGAGGCCGGAGGATAGCTTGAGGCCAGAAGTTCAGGAGCAGCCTAGGCAACCTAGCAAGACCCTGTCTCTACAAAAAAAAAAAAAATAGCCGGTTGTGATGACGTGCGCCTGTAATCCCAGTTACTCAGGAGGATCGTTTGAGCGCAGGAGTTAGAGGTTGTGCTGAACTGTGTTTGTGCCACTGCATTTCAGTCTGAGTGACACGGCTAGACCCTGTCTCTAAAAAACTAAAAATGAATGAATAAATAAATAAATTCAAGAGTGTTTATATTTTATTTTATTTTTATTTATTTATTTTATTTATTTTTTTTTTGAGTTGGAGTCTCACTCTGTCACCCAGACTAGAGTGCAGTG